TGAAATTGGCTTACCGAGGTCCGGACTGGGCCTGTTTGACTTGGTCACGGACGATGCAATCGTCGAGTTCGGCCTCATACTCAACGAGTTTGCGGGCCGCCTGGTTGTAGGCCTCTTGTTCTTCTGGAGTGCGGTAGGCCATTGTAGGGGGCTTGGAGCGTGGAAGATGGTGGTGGTACCTGGAAGATAATGAGTTTCATTTTTTTGCTGTCGTCTGGAATTGAAACTGGTTTCGTTTTCTGAAATAAATACTGGTACGTCCTTATTCACACCTATTAACTATGCATTTCTTTTCATATTATCTTTCGTTATTTTATCTGTTACTCACCGTGGTGTTGTTGGATGCCCGAGGACCTTCTGAACGGTGTGTGGTGGTGTTGCGGGTGGTGTGCCAGTGCCATCATATACAAATTGTATCTAAAATCAAAGAGTGGTGATTTTTGAACGATTTCAATTTTTCTTCTCATTTTTCCCGATTAATTGATTCTTTTTAGATAGTACTCACCCATTTAAAAGTTCAAAAAAATCAAAAAAAAAATTGGAGACCGCCAAATCCGGGTAGTCAGGTGAAGATGCAGAAATGGGGACAGCTTTTGGATAGCTACCCTCAAGTCTTCTATACGATTCGTTCGCGGCATGAATAGTTTCTGGAAACAATTGATTAGAACTAGAAAGTCAGTATCAGTATCAGATTATGAAATTTTCGCGAAAAGAGAGAGAGAGAGAGAGAAAGAGAAAGAAAGAGAGAAAGAGATCTGAAAGAACAAGGTTTCTAAAAACGAGTAGATGGTTGAACTGTGGCAGGGTTGGAAACAATCAATCAAGAGTTCAATAGTGACTCAAAATTCTCAAAAATTATGTCGAAAAACAACACAACTGGCGGAAAATCTGGATTTTTTTCCTAATACTCAAGTTTTCAGTGTTTTGATTGAGAAAATTGAAAAAAGCGGAAACAAAGAACCACTTCTCTAATGGAAAGTGATTAATTAGGCGCTAAAATAGCTGAGTTTGATCAGAGAAGTGAATAACTAAATCAAACAAACTTCAAAATTTTGAAATTGCGAGAAAAAATTCTGAAACCATATGAAAACCATCTCTGGTTGACAAAACTCTCCAATTCAAAACATAATATTCACATTTTTGGTTCATTTATGAGAAAAACTAGAACAAACCGAGCCAAACCTATAAAATTGTTTATAGTGATCAAAAATTGCGAAATTTGACTCAAAAAATGATATTTCAACACGAAGGAAGCCAATTTTCAATGATGAGTCACCCAAATTTCGCAATGAGTAGCCCCATTTCAAATGTTCTCGAATTCGCCAAAATATTATGTCGGAGAGCAAGAAGACGGCAACGTTAATTATACTGAGCCCAGAAAAATAATCGAAAAACAAGAAAAACTGTTTTTGTGGGGTGCAAAAGGGGAAAGAAAGTGTTTTGATTGAGTAACAGGGTGGCCACATATCGGAACAAATGCGAGAAGGGAGGATGAAACATTGCAGAAAACTGGGAGGAGCAGAGAAAGAGAGGGTTGAAGGAAGGGAGAGGACGATTGCTCATCCGTGCCTGTTGGTGTTGCCAGAAGAAAGGGGTTGCACTATTCAGCAGCACGAACAGGGATTGGTCTTCTGCAAACAAGAGTGGTCTCTTGCAAACACCCAAGACAAAGGAGGGCTTTGGTCAAGAATAAAACGGGTGAAAAAATTCGAACAAAAAATTCGATCAAACAAGGTTTGGTTTTTTTCAAATAATTGAAACTGGAAATGACAGATACAAAAGAATGATACATACTGGGACCAAGAAAATAACCTAGCAGTAAAAAAAAATGAAACAAACTTTGGAAAAAATTCTAGGATTTTTTTTGAAAAACGAGTAATTTCCTGGAGTGCATCCTTTTTTTGTGTATCTCCCAACAAATTGAATTTCGGGAAATTCATTTGCTTTTGATTTTTTTTTTCGAAGCACCCTATCCAGACAAAACACGCTCGGACATCCGGACATACCCACACCATCGGCAGACCCCCTCGCTTCCCTGTTTCCCTTCCCCTCCTCTCTGTCTCTGCTCGGCCGCCGCCGCTCGCACTCTCCTCCATGCCCTCTACCCCCTGTGCTGCCGGCGACTGCATGGCGCAATGGTAGCGCGTTCGACTCTAGATCGAAAGGTCTGGCGTTCGATCCGCTCAGCGTTCAAATGCTTTTTCTTTTTTGTTTTTTTGCCACACAAGGCTTTGGGACAGTTTTTACGGGTTTTCGAGGTCTTAGAATTTATTTGAACAGCCTAGCGATTTAGGAGAATGAACCGAAACCGGAGAAATGAAATGTTTGGCCCACTGGCCCTATTTTACTTTGTCCCAATAGCAATAGTCATGGTATTTTCTAGCTGAAAAAGGCTTGTAAGGTTCAACAAAAAGTTCCACAAATGTTGCCTCAAATGATACGGTTAGATCAAAGGGTCTTGGTCGGACCCTTTTTTCCGGAAAGCCCATGTTCCTAACCATTTTGAAATGGCAGATTCAATACACTGTATTCTTGTACACAGTGGTCCTCTTCTTCGTCTCCCTTACAGTCACAGGCGCACGATATTGATCGACGCCTGTGTGACTGACTGCAGTGAGTTTATGCACAAAACCTGATACCTCAGACCTCAAAACCTTCAAACAAGCAAAAAGCACGCAGTAGTAAAAAAAGAAAAACCTTGAAAAAACTTTGGAGATTTCAAGAAAAATGAGTAATTTGTTGGTGATCAGCATTTTTCTCATTCACCACCCCACGAATTGAATTGAAACGAATTGATTTGAAAATTCCCCTGTCTAAAATGCTTGTGTGCAAAATGAGTACAACGCTCGTACTTTCTTTTACATAATAGGCAAAACAGAACACAGATAAATGCGACTTATTTATTATGAAGAGGCAATAAAAAGGGTAAAAACATATGCGAGAGCCGGTGGTGAAGATGAGTGTGAGACAGCTGCGACGCATTGAAAAACATGATCGCGTTTGTTAGCTAGTGGTGTTCTAGCGGGTGAAGTTAGCGATAAATAATTTAATTATAATTTTGGCCTACATTTGGGTAAGCTATAGCGGGTGATGCCGGCGACGTGTGGGAAGCCGTGCGAGCTACGCGATAAAAACCCGTGAATTTAGCGGATAAAAATATATTTAAAATGAGAAACAAACGTGAAACATTCGAATAAATCGATATGTGCGTAAAAAGAAGCATAAAAACTACACACTGAAATTACTGCATCTCAAACAAGTTCCCAAAAGTACGCGTTGCGTGTACGCGACGCGGCTCGGTGGAGCGCACTTAGTGGACTTTAGGAAATGTTAGGCGCGGTATTCAAATGGAGTTTTTGATAAATGGAGAATTAGCGGAGTGAAAATGACGTATTAGATGGGGTTTTAGTGGCAAGTTTTGCGGGCAAAACATTAGAGGCACTAAAGTACCAGCCAGTCGGCAGGATTCGTCGAGAATGAGGAATCTTGTCGACAAAATACAGTACCGGCCATATTTATACGAACACCACGTGAAAATTCAAGCCATTTTGTACTGAGAATTTTGATGGACCAGCTTTGAGAGGGCATAACTTTAGAACCAGATGAGATAGAAAAAAGTTGTCAACTAATAAAATGTGTGAAAATTAATAATCTTGAGGTCATTAGTTGATTGTTTTTTGATACCTCGTACGGCTCCAGAGTTACACGCCGTGCAATAAAAAGTTTACTTTTGGAAATAGGAAAGCCCAAAACGGTCAAACCTTAGACTATCCTTGCTAAGAATGGCCCTATCTCAAAAACCGTTGAAGTAAGAAAAAAGTGATCAACTGAAGATCAATAGAGCATGCAATTGTCTACATTTTTGTAGTACATAACATTTTTTCAGCTATCATGCCTGCTGAGTTACAGCCGACAGAAGTGAAAAGTTTTGAAAAACTTGTTGATATGAAATTTTTCTCTAAAAGGTCTCAAAAATTTTCGTTATTTCTACAGTTTTTCATGTTTTCAAACATTGAGAAACTCAGAAAAACAATAATTTTCACAAAATTCCGTTAGTTTCAAAACTTGTCACTTCTGTCGGCTGTAACTCAGCCGGCATGATAGCTGGAAAAATTTCATGTATTAGAAAAATGAAGACAATTGTATGTTCTATTGATCTTTAGGTGATCACTTTTTTCTAACTTCAACGGTTTTTGAGATAGGACCATTCTTAGCAAGGATAGTCTAAAGTTTGACCGTTTTGGGCTTTCCTATTTCCAAAGGTAAATTGCACGGCGTGTAACTCTGGAGCCGTACGAGATATCAAAAAACAATCAACTAATGACCTCAAGATTATTAATTTTCACACATTTTATTAGTTGACAACTTTTTTCTATCTCATCTGGTTCTAAAGTTATGCCCTCTCAAAGCTGGTCCATCAAAATTCTCGGTACAAAATGGCTTGCATTTTCACGTGGTGTTCGTATAAATATGGACGGTACTGTAATTAATACAAAAGTAAGAAACTTATTGAAAGCAAGAAAATAACCTAGCGATAGAGAAGGAAATAAACAATCTGGAAAAAATTTGAAAGATTTGACTCAACGAAAAAAAAAATCCTTGGAGTGCAGTATGGTTTTAAATGCACCACTCCCCAAGTTGAGTTGAAACTCAGAATGACTAAAACCAAAGAAAAAATATTTTGAAAGCAAGAGAATGACCTGGTGATAGAGGGAAGACTGTAAATCTGGAAAAAAAACCACTTTGACACAGAAATAAGCCATTTTTGAGCTAAAAACGAGCCGCGGCACCTTCCCCTCACCATTCTAAAATTCATTACTTTTCGATTCTTTTTTTCAGACCAACCTATCCAGACAAAACATGCGCAGACATCCGGACACACTCACCTTACCGGCAGACCCTGCCGCTTCCCTACTTCCCCCTCCCCCTCCTCTTTGTCTCTGCCTGGCCGCCTTCCCCCCGCACTCTACTCTAGGCCTTTTTCCCCCTCTGCTGCCGGCAACTGTTTGGCGCAATGGTAACGTGTTCGACTCCAGATCAAAAGGTTGTGCGTTCGATCCGCTCAGTGTTGAAATGGTTTTTCTTTTTTGTTTATTCGCTACGCGGGGTTTCGGGTAATTTTAAAAGAGTTCGGATGGTTTTTACGGGATTCCGAGGTCTTAGAACCTATTCGAAGAGCCTTAACTTAAAACACTCATATGAAAATGTGCCTTAAATCTTCAACAACTTCTGATCAGAAGACTACTAATTGAAATTGCAGATCTAATACACTGTACCTTTGCACACAGTGGTACTTTCCTTCTTTCTCCTCCTTCCAGTCACAGGCGCACCATATCGGTCGACACCTGTGTAAATGCGACGAGTGTATGCACAAAATCCGTTCTTCAGACCTCTAAACCTTCAAACAAAAAAATAACCTAGCTCTAGAGAAGAAAATGAAAAACCTCGGGAAAAAGTTAGAAGACTTGACTCAAAAAAGAATAACTTCGAAAAATAATAACTATTATAGAATCAAAAAAATCGCACAAACTTATTTATTAATCTCACGTATTCTATGCTCCTCCCATTTCTGCAATTTCTCCGCACGGTATTTCGAAACTCAAGTTTTCAGTTGTTTTGAGAGTTCAAGTTTGAATTTGGAGGGTCTTTTTTATTCATTCAGTGTATTTTTTCAAAGTGTGCGGCAGGATTGCAGATATGGGAGGTGTTGAAAATTTCCAAATTACGTGAATTTCCAAAATAAATTCGTGCGATTCTTTTGATTTGATAATAGTGCAGTCGCCGGCAGCAAAGGGGATAGAGGACAAAGAGGAGAGTGCGGGGGAAGGTGGCCGAGCAGAGACAGAGAGGAGGAAGGGTGGAATCAGGAAAGCGACAGAGTCTGTCGGTCGGGTGGGTTTGTCCGGATGTGCGCGCTTGTTTTGTCTGGATAGGGTGATTTGAAAAAGGAAATCAAGAGGAAATAAATTCTAGAAGGATGAGGTAAGGTGCCGCGGCTCGTTTTTAGCTCAAAAATGGCTTATTTCCTGTGCCAGAGTGGTTTTTCTCAGGTTTTCATTTTTTCTTTCTTTGCCTGGTCAGCAAACTGGTTGGGAACAGAAGTTTTTCAGAAAACAGGATATGACAAAGACCCCTATAACTAACTGTTCCGTTTGTCGCATGATTTGTGGGATCTTTTGTTCAACCTAATATGCCATACTTCATTAAAGAAGACGATAAACGTTTACTTTTCAATTCATGATGAACATTTACATTTTTGGAAATTCCAAAATGCCCCTTTTGTATTTATCCCAGTTCTTCTCTACAATTATCCATTTTAAACCATCCTTCACATGTCAGTGGTAAAACTACCCTTCGATGAATAAATAAATAAATTCCAGTGTCTATGCATCCCAATAAGAGTCGTTTTATCTGTTTTTGAATAATTATTTGTCTAGTGATGTTCAAAAACTCTATTCATTCATTTGAAATTTATGTTTTCAATGCTCCGATAATCTGTTCACTTTCAAGTTCTGTCTATCTTTTTTTCCTTGCGGTCATAGTGTGAAAAACCATTTTTTAGCATTGCTTGCTTTTTTGAAAAAAAAATCAAACAATTTTTTTTGTTTGAATTCATTTGCCCGTTGTAATGTTGACCAAAGTCCTCCTCTGTCTTAGGTGTTTGCAGGAGACCACGCAATCGCTTTTTCTTTTTGCAAATGTTACTTTACACAATTGGATGACGGAGACAAACGATGACGTGTTCCTTACTTCGGCTTTTGACTCCCCCGCCTCTTTTTCAAAGTTTTTGCAGCGACCACATTCATTCATTTTTCTATTTCATATTGTCTAACTTGTGATTGTTGGACATCTAATTTTTGATTGTTTTGGTGAGTTGTTAATGTGGAAGACTTCTGATTGAAATTTTTTTTTCAGAATTGGTTTATTTTTTCGACTTTCTGGTGAGGGTCTTTCATTTGATTATTTCGAATATTGGATTGGATTGGAATTTGATGGTGAGTTCCAATTTGTATAGTTTTTCTCCTGAAAATTGTTGACGCTGATAATCTTTATGATTCAACTGGGGTTTTTTTAGACTTTTTGAGAATCAACAAGTCCAGCCAGGGTTCGGAGTATTAAAACAGAGGGCTCTAGTCAGTTTCCAGGGTGTTTATGGGTTTTCGGGATCCATGAAAAAACCCGAGTCTTTTTTTCGGACAAAGGAACCTAGGAAACACTCGAGACCCATTAAATAACCGGTCCTGAAAAAATTAATTCGAGGCTCAAAACATATTTTCCGGGACTCATCCAAATCGATTTCTGCTCGAAATGATGTCGCCTGGGCTACTGGTTCAATAGTGGCGTTTTGCGCTTTCGAAAGATACATCAAATGGGCCACAGGCTCAGAACAGGCTCAGAAAACACAACAAAACAGCTTTTTAGAGCACAATGTCGAATAGGATGAATCCTGAAAAATGTTTATCAAGCCTCCCCCCCCCCCCCCTCACTCAAAACCCTTTCATCTTGTTAACTGCCACGTATGATTAGAAAACCTTCCAGACTCATAAGTGAAAATGAAATTTTGTATGAAACTTCTGGACACACATTAACATCTTTTTCTATGGTGTACGGATTTTCTTTTGTTTTCTCCGATTGTGTTGCGAGCTGCAAACCATGCATAACACATCGGAAATGATATCATCCGTTTCGGATCCTAGTCCAGTGGTTGATCGACAAAATAGTGGTAACTCAAATGATGGTTCCAATAAAAACACAAATAAGTGAGTATCAAAAATGAATTAATGTATTGTAGAATCCTAACACTACTCATTCAAAAACTTTTTACTATTTGAAAGTTCACAATCAGAGTGCTGCCCCGCGATTTTACCAAATTTGAGATTATGCATTGCAAACGGAAAAAATCAAGTCAATAATAAAACCAAAAAGTAAAAAAAAAACCAAAAAGTAAAAAAGATGTAAAAAGGGTTTTGGTGGCAGTGGGGGTCGAACCATAGTCATCAGATTGGTACAAAAATGACAAAAGCAAAAAACAAAAAATATTTGACACCGGTGGGGGTCGAACCTTGGTTGTCAGATTGGTAAAGGTTGTCAGATTGGTAATCACTACAAATCCAAAAAGTATCATTTTGAACCCTTCAAAGGCGATTGTATTGTTGTGTAAGTTTAACTACTCGAATATAGGTTTTATGTTTCTTCCGAAAACCAAAAAATTTTAAGATAATCAATTATTCTTCACAAATTTTAGGCCCATCGAGGATTTCGTGAACAAGTACGGCGGCCTGCTCACCAGTGATGACGTCAATGAGAATGTGATTGAGAAAATGGATGATTCGGAAATTGAAACACACCGATGCTTTGGACATGATGAAAGTTTCGACCTTACGCCTCACTCAATGAGAAATCAAGAAAACACAGACAGTGATATTTTGGAAGATCTTAATGAAAGCTCTTACAGAGCATTGTAAGTCATCACGTTTCATCATTTTCTGGAATTTCACCTCCACAATTTCAGTAACGACAATGATGTACTTGAAGAAGATCATCGTCCACAAGAAATATTTAATTTTGATATCGGAAGAACTGAAGATACTGAATCAGTAGCTTACGCTTTTCCGTTCTCAGTTAATTTGGACGAAAGTGACGAGGAGTTATTGGACGACGTATTGGAAGTCAGTGCAGAATAGGAACGGGCGTACAATTCAACAATAGACAAAAACAGTTTTGAAGAGTTTCAACGCTATAATCAATACTGCTCAGAAGAAATAACAAAAGTGAAAAATATTGTGAATCTGGCTACAGCAAAAGAGGCAAACAGGTATTTTGGTCTTTCAAAACACTTGTAAAGTATAACATCTAGACACGAATTGGATATCAAAGATGCGGTCAAGACTCTGGAAGAAATGAATGATTAGTTCAACACTTTGTCCGACATTTCAAACAATTTGAGTGATTATGCATTGCAAACGGACAAAATCAAGTCAATAATCAAGGACGCCACAAAATTAAAAAATGATGTGCTTTTAAAATATAGACAACGTCTGTCAAAAAGCTTATCGGAATATGTCAGAAGAGAAACCATCAAGTAAGTCTTCTTATCACCTATTTTAATAGTTTCAAAACATAGTTTTCCAGAACTTTCAGCGATTCATACTAACAATTTTTCAGCGTTTCTGAAAATTTGTCACTATCCAACCATCTAACACAATCTGAAACTGATCCCGTTGCAAAAAATGAAAGAAATGCAGAAAGCGGTTTGCTCGAAACAAACGGAGCTTTTTTTTCTGACAGAAGCAAACAAAAAGTTGACGGAAAGCGTGAATGCAACCAGTTATCTCACATTGCACAAAATGCACAGGTAAATATAATAGTAAGCTAGTTTATTCAATCAATTCTCAATTAAGCCAACAACGCAGGTTTCATTAACCAGTGTCTCTGTTTTGCCGGTCACGAGGTCGCCTTCAAGCATGTTTCTGATACATTACCCCACGAATTGAGCTGAAACTCAGAAAGATAAATATAAATGGAAGAAATATATTGAGAGCAAGTGAATAACTTAATGATGAAAAGAAAAAATCACTTTCACACAGAAACAAACCATTTTTGACCTAAAAATGAGACACTTTTTACTCATCATTCTCAAAATCATTCCTTCGTGATTCTTTTTTTCAAATCGCCCAATCCAGAGAAAACATGCGCGCACATCCGGACAAGCCCACCGGACCGACAGACCCTGTCGCTTCCCTGCTTCCACTACTCCTCCTCTCTGTCTCTGTTCGGTTGGGCGGTCGATCCGCTCAGTGGTTAAATGTTTTTTTTTCTTTTTTTTTATCTGCTCTGAGGTGTTTCGAGAAATTCTACAGTGCGGTTTTTTCCCTATGCTCCTTGTCTTTAATTATCTATTATTTTTCAAAATCCCCGTATCCCAATCACCATCAAATCGTCACCACTAATTACCATTACCATCAATATATTACCACAAAATTCGTAGTTCTCTCCCCCCCCCCCCCCCGTGAAAGATCGTGGTTCTTCGGAGAATTAAGTATGGTTGGGTGTGAGCAAAAAAACTTGGGTA